CTTCTCTGCTCCTTCTTCAGGTGGAAGAATTGTGAAGTCTCGTTACATGCAGTACGATAAGAAAGATGCCAAGAAGGTACTTAAACACCTCGCTCCTGGGCTCAGGGGTCGCTCAGGAAGGGGTAGGAATGGTGTGAGGGGCAGCTCAGCTCCTCACAGGGAGCCCGTCAGTGAGACCTGAACAAAAAAATACCTCTGCGGGGGTTATGAGGGAGTTGTGGTGTGTTCCTACGTGCAGGCTGCGTTGGGAACTTAAGACTGTGCTCAGGTGACGTGCAAAAAACCCAAGACGCCCTGAGATTGTAGTTTATTGTCAGTGTTTGAGTTGGAGTTAGGATATATCGCTAATTGCGTTTGCTGCTTATGTTCAACCTTTCCTGTTTCTTCATTGTCAGGATAGTTCAGCAAATTCCTTCTCAACGTCTATTGCTAAACCATCTTCTGCAACTAAACCAAGATCAGTTCTCCCTCAGAAATGTAAAACTTCTGCTGGTATGTTTTAATAGAAGAATTAAAAAGCTTTTTCTTGTGTGAATTTGTATTTCCAACCTGTAGACTCTTAACAACTCTAAAATGGTGTGAAGAGATGGTATTTTGTGTTACGAGATGGTAGTTTGTGTTATTTGCATCACTGCTGGTTATTGTCTGTGTACAAAGGGAAATAAGAAACTTCATGTGGGATTAAGAGGTGTAAACTGAAGTGCATTAAGCTCTTGTTTGGACATTCTGATAGAAAACTAATTGGAATTCAGTAATTGGGTTGTCTAATATAAGCGTATCTCTTGCCTTCAGTACAAGGCTTTGAGCTTCTCTTTTACTGTGCCCTCACCATCGCTCTCTTTTTTTTATTTAATCTTTATAATAAACCCAGTGCAAATGACTGAAAATCCCTGTCTCTAAAACAGTCCATATTTATTTCTTTTGCAAGAATTGCAAAAAAATTTTCTGGTAAGACCTTAACTTGACCTGAAAATCCCGAGGAAATATTATTCCCTTTTCACATCTGAGTGGTGTTGTTGAACTGTGAAATGTTTAAGAGGAGAACATTCTGAACTACCTTATCTCTCAGTAAGTTATATCACAATGTATATAAAGTAAATCTGTAAAAGTTTACCTAAGGTTGCAACGTATTAGTGAAAGCCTATATAACTGTGAACTTATGCAGGTTCTACTCTAATTCTTTTAGTTTGATAACAGCTTCTTTCTACAGATGGTGTCCATAGCTCATTAAATCAGAGTAGTTTTGAGAAAGGTGACTTGCAGTCCACTTTATTAGATGAAGATAAAATTAGTCGACCAGACCTTGATCTTTCAGCTATTAATGGTAAGCTTCCACTCATACTCAATTTCTTGTTTTACTGTTTTTAATATATGTGCTGTAACTTGATGATAAGTAACCCTTGTGTTCTTCTATATTCACAAAAGAGTTCTTTTAAATAAGGTAAAGTATCTTTAAGCAGAGATATTAAGACCTTCAGGGTTTAAATTAACCTCTTGATTTTAGTATCTTTGGGGTGCTCTGTTCTTTTTGCTAAGCTCAAATATTAAAGAATAAAGTACTCTCAAGTGTTCCTGTAACAAATGGGTGTTAGAGTTTTCAGAATGGCTAATAGTCTGTCACACTAAAGCTGTAACTGTCACTTAAAGCTCAATGCTCAGGTGATCCACATCTTCTCATGAGTATCCTCAGAGTTAGAAATAGAGCACATGGTACGTGTAATAATTTTGACATTATCTTGGCCTTTGAAGAACCTGATGATATATTGACCCACCTTTATGCTTTGGTAGATGAGATTAATAACTTTTCTGTTGTGATACAGATAAAACTGTCCGCAAAAAGACACCCAGTTCAAACTCTGCTTGCAAAGGAGATACAGGGACACCTCAAAAAGCCAAAAAAGCGGTGAGTCTCACTGCTTTCATTTGCTAAGCATATTCATTTTGAAATGTGTGAAATGAAGATTTTCTCTTTATCTTTAATCTTTATAACAACTTTGAGGTCCTGGGATAGTCTAAAGCCTTCTGGCAGAAGTCAGAGTGTAGGTCTGAACTTCAACTTTTCTACCAGTATTATGAAAATCTGCTGAAAATGTTATAAATAAGTGGTGGAACAAAGAACAAAGAGGTATATTTAATTAACATCAATTGTTTAAAAACCCAAACTGTTTTTTTTTGAGCTGACTGTTGTTGATGACGGTTGTGGGCACAAATTGGACTTTATTTGAACATTGAAAAAGATAATTGTTTAAATACCCAAATTGATCTAGTATATTTTTTTCTTTTCTGAAGGGAAATGATTCTGATGCTCTGATGGAAGAGCTGGAATCTCAGACCCTGCTTTTGACTTACCTAAGAGTAAAGGTGAGAGTCAGTCAAGTACTCGGTGTTTCAGATAAAAGAACTTGATATTGAGGAATTGTTTAATTTCTTGCCTATGCTTTCTGATGTGTAGAAGTTAGATTTTTGTGACTTTATATGTTTAGGGTTGTAAAACTATGACTTGCTTTGGAAGCTCTCTTAGATTGAATTCAGTGTCAGTTTATTGATCTGATGCTGGTTCCTCATGAAGTGGGGGTACGTAGAAGCTTGGGGAAAACCGTGAGTAAGAGCGTTGGTATTTCAGGGTTGTAGCAGTGACTTTGTTCTTTGTTCTCTCAGTCCTGTATATGTACATTTTTCCTTGGCAAAAACTATTAGCAGGGGTAGGGGAAGAAGATTGAGGGGGGACCTTAACTGTGCTGTACTGTGCTTATTGCATGAGGTCTCTGATTCATTTATTGAAGCTCTCTGGCATGATCTGAGGCTTGCATTTGTTTCTTCAGGATATGTTAATTAAATGTAGCATTACTTTAGTTGTGAATATTTTTTTGCACATAATAGGCAGGAAAAAACGTTGCTGAGCTGGAGAAAAAATTAGAAAAAAACTTGCTAACATTGTGTGAAGAAAAGGGGAGACAACAGGAGAAGCTCTGCGAGCTGAAGCGTGAAATTCTACTCAAAGAGAGAGAGCAGAAACTTGATAACGCGTTAGACAAACAGGTAGGCTTTATTACAATTTATGCTTCTCCTGTATTTAAACAACCTCACTTACGGTATGAAGTAGTGCTTCATCCAGAGAAGATTTCTCTGCTTCTGTGGCCTGCTAGGGTACAATTTTATGCATCTTAAATAAGGTAAATATCATCTTCCTGTTGTGTTGTGTTATGTAACGCTCGCTGGTAACCTAAGCAGGTGCCTTCATTGCTTTTTTTGCTCTCCCTTGTGGAGAGGCAGGAAAGAGAAGTTAGAGCTCTTGGGCAAGGGGCACCAGCAGCGCCAGTTGCCAGAGCAGTTTGCAGCTGGTGCAGAAGAGAGGCGAGTATCTTCACCCACATGGACATCCTGCAGTTGCACAACTGCATCCATGGCTAGAGCTGAGATGCTGCCCCTTAGATGAGACGTGAACATCCTCTCTGCTTTGTCTTATTTTTATGTGTTTTACAGCAATAGTTCAGGCCTGGTTGTAAGAAGGCAAGTTTCTAATGAATAATTAATTTTTGAGGAATTCATTTTCAGAACTGAACCTGTGTTTGCTTTTTAATAAATAGACATTGCAAAAATGGGAAAAATACTTTTGTCTTTTGGAGAATAGAGTGTTAACTACAGTCCTAGTATCAAATATAAAACTCTTTAACTGCTCTGTTGCTAGTACCTCTGAGCTACAGTCACAAGGAAACTGATACTGACCTAGGCATTAGAGGTGGTAGAGGAAAACCTATTAAACAGCACAATAGGAGTATCATACCACAAACTTCTTGAATTTCTTTGTCAACAAGCATTGCAGAGTGGTATTTGGGGGTTTTTAAAATCATTTTTCTGTATTGAGCCAGGTCTGTGATAACAACATGGCTGCTTTTGAAGAAGTGTTGGATCATTATGTGTCTTTTCCAGATGGAAGTACTTTCTCCCCTCGTTCCTGTTTGTGAGCAGTTTAAAGAGCAATATAAAAGCTTTGCAGTTGCCCTGGATGCCACTAGACATGAATTGCCTATAAAGAATATTCACATAGAAGGAGATACACTAACATACCTTGGTATGAGAATTTGATTCATCTAATTTACTTTCAGAAATAATGGGGTTTTTTGGTATTACGTTGTTGTTAGATCTATCTGTGGCCACTGGAGGAATTTTGTGTGCCCTTAGAGCTTGTATGAACACTGAGCTGCAGCATTAGTCACATGCTTTGCTATGAATAATTCTTGTTTCTGTTTAGCCGCTGAACTGCACTTGAGCAAGTTTTTTTTATCCTGCAGCAGGAAAAAAGTAACTTTCTAAGCTAGGGCAGTCTTCATGTACACTTCCTTTTTCAAGTTTCTGTATCTTTTTAAGTATTCATGGCATTCCTCCTCCTTTCTTGTTCCTAATGGCTAAGCAGATTGTAGAAATACTGTGATCTCTTCTTGTTTCAGTGTTTTTTGTGGTATAAAGTCATGTGGGTAGACTTGCTCATGTTTCCTGTAGAGCTAGAGCTTAAATAATTGTGTGATGTCTTGAACCAGAGAGTGTTTCTTTAATAAACTAGTATTTGTGTTTTGTGTCCAACTCTGGACAAAAAAAGTTACATTTTTAAACTGCTGATCTACAAGAAATGAGATTCTTAACCCATTTACACTTTACTTACAATTTAAAACAAATAGAAAAGGGTTATTGAAGAACTTAAAATTCTTGTAAGAAGTCTTGGAAGGAATAGATATGTATTTTTGGTTTGTGAATATTAACAAAAAGGACTGGATACGTTTGTGTTGGGGGTACATGCTAATAGTAATACGTGTAACTGGCTAGGGAATTTTGGTTGTTTAAAACTTGTTTTTTCTCTTGCATTTCTGTATTGTGAAGATCTTTGTACTCTAAATGAGAGCTTGATTAGTAATTTTAATGCCATGTTGCTGATGTAGTCACAATAGCTAAAAATAATTTGGCTTTCCCAGTTTTCTCATGGTGTATTTGTGAAAGCTAAACAAACAGTTGTGTTTTCCATCATCTAGTTCTCCTGTCTCTGTGGTTCCTCCAGCTATTGAGTAAGCTTGCATTAACTGATGCCACTGCATGCATTTTTTTATTAATATTTTTAACATCTCATATTATAGATGAACTGCAAAAGCAGTTAACTATCACACAGGAACTTCTGACAGAAGTTATGCCAAGCTACTCAGAAGAAAGTGCAAAAGCATTTAGTGTATTGAAAGACCTGAAAGAAATGTCTCAGAAACTGGATAAAGAGCTTCAAAGGTATTTACAACAATCAGGTGAAAAGACTCATTGGCCAAATACTCAGAGGAAAATCGAGAGATATCTCCAGGATATATCCCAAATGGTTTTTTGGAGGAGGATTAATTGAGGGGATAGTAGCACCAAGTTTAATTCTCTTTGTAGCAGATATCTGTATTTCTGTCCCTACCCTGCCTACAGTCAAAGTGAAGAAGTTTGGGGGTTTATTTGTTCGTGTATTCAGAGTAAACTACTTTAGTGTGCCATTTGCTGACACGTTAGCTGAGAAATTCAGTGAGCAAGAGTAGCCCTGGTGAAGTACAAATATGTAGGAGAGTGAAGAACTCCAGGAGACAGAAAAGTGAACTGGAAGCACTATGTCTTAAATAATAACCATACAAATATATCCTCCTTTAAGAGGTACAAGGAGCAAAGAAAAGTTTTTTGTTTGTTTGTTGTTTGTTTGGGTTTTTTTCCTCAAATATTGTGTCAACAAATACAAAGTATCACTGAGAGCATGAGGAAGTGATAAAACGTGATAAATTTCCTTTCCTTCCTTAATTTCCCCAGAAGGGATTACAGCTAAAATCTTTGAAGATTGATAGACCATAAAGCCACACATCTCCCCCTCCTGCAAACTGCCTCTCCTCTCCTCTGAATTCTAACCATTAGGATGAAAATTCACATTTTACACTTTTTTTCTTCTGGTGGCTGCGTGGTAGGAGAATGATGTGAATGTCCAGGCACGGAGCCATTGGAGTTAAGCAGAAGTTACTCCTGTCCAGAGTAACTGATTTACCTTGTTTCATTTGTTCCAGGAGCTTCACAGAAGTGGAGAACCTGTCCTTTGAAGTTAGTAAAGAAGTTTCTCTGCGTAACCAAAGAATATGTGAAGAGAATCATGGACTAGATGTTGTGAAACACTGGTACTTCAACTAGGTTTGTGTGGTGTTTCACTAACGGGTGGGTACTAAGTCAATGCCAGCAGACTTGTCATCTTTTTACTTCTTATATGAACATAGAACTTGTCCAGATTTTCAGTTTTTCACCAGAATATGAAACCAGCAGCATGTGTGCTTACTAATACAAGAAATGGAGTTTTCTTCTGCATGTTGTCCCATAAGGAGACATCTTTTTTTTTTCTCATCACTTTTTGCCTTGACAGTACAGCAAGGTAAATAATAAGAAATGTTATTCTGAGCAAATATGACATAGGTGTTCTTAAACAACTCGGTTTACTTTTTGGAACTGACTTTTAAGTGTGCAGATTTGCATCTCTGCAAACCAGTTTTCCTTAGAGAGCAACATGTCAGAGTACAGATGTGGAATTGTGTATGTGGTGCTGTGCATTTGTCAGGAGGATCTGTAGGGATGTACAGCATGGTCATTGGTCACTCGGTTAACAACTTCTGGAGGAACTCTTACTTGTCCCTTATTTCTGGATTTGCTGAGAGGAAGAGCTATGTGGATAGCAAATAATGAGGCCGATGATTGGAAGGAGCCTGGTCACTTGTAACAAGTGAAAAGTTTTGGTAACTTGTTGCCTAATTGCCTTGGAAACAAATTATTAAAATCATAAATGTTTTTGTATTAATCTGACACCTTCTTTTTAAGGACTTTATTTATTTTAATAATAAAGACTATTTTACACTGCTTTATCAATAGCCTTCATGTTTGAATATCTTCATTGATCTCCTACAGAAGCTTTTGTTTCCATCTGGGTTTACATAGGCCTAATATTACACAATATACGCAGTGATGGACTTACAGGCACTAACCAGTCCCAGTGGTGAGCCATGACCTACTGGCACCCAACGTGCTGAGGCCAGAAGAGTGTGAATGTGGAGAGAAACCTCAGACCTAACTGCTGAGTAAGTGCCTGAGAAGGTGTGTGCTCTGTTGTGAACATACAGCCAGATGTGGCCCTTGTTTTCACCGTACTTTCCATTTTTGCACACAGCATCTCTTTTGGAGAGAAATACCTTCTGTATCCTGTGGTTTGTTTTTTTTTTTCACCTGTGGAACCTCTTTCTGTGATGGTTTGTTGAAAGTTTTGTTTTGTTTTGTCTGTGTAGTGGTTTCTGGCTTAAGTTGTGTCTGTGAAGCTTTTTGGCCTGCTCAAAAAAAATACTTGGAGCATTCTCCTTGCACTCCTTAAAGTGCTATTCAGGCTTTCTTCCTGGTGTTACTGAGGGTCTAACTGGATTCTTGTCTTGTTTTTATTAAAAATTAAGTAAATTAAGCTATAGTAACTGGGTCAGTAAGATGTGAAGTGCACTGGGTGAGAAGTCAATCTATAAACTATTAAGACCCTCCTTATATTTAATATCAATGTCATTTTTTTTCACAGCAACTTATCCATAAGCCAGTGGGAGGTAATGTGTTATTTTAAGATGTTAATCTGTTGTTTCTTCTTCCTCAAACATGTCAGATGATTTGTGCTCAATATCCTGTGTGTGCTGCCATTTATTTTGTGAGTCATGGGTGCTGGACGCAGCAGGATCACACTCCGGGTCAGGAGCATGAGCTGCACCTACGAATTTGGCCACTGGATGGGGAGCTTTGCTAAGCAATCAAGTCCTAGGTTAGCTGGAAATTAGCAGTCTGGTTTTGGTGCATGGAGATCTTAGTAGAAAGGCTTCTACATAGTGAAACTGCTGCTCAAACAACTGTTTATCCTTGGGTTGGATAATTGCTACGATGTGTGTCCTCATGCCCCGAATCTTTGTCGTGTGTCATTCTGATGTACGGAAAGTTAAGAGGGGTCTTACTTAAATATGAGGGGGGAGGGATGGAATGAAAATCGAGTTTATAGTGTCTTGATAATTCTGTCTCTGCACAGACACAAATCAGAATGCTTTTCCTAGGATTTAGTGATGGTAGACTTCATTGCTGCTCTAAAAAAAAATATATATTTTTAATAAATACTTTTAAATTAATCCCATTCTCTTCAGTCAAGTGACTTTGCTGTTGCAATACTGTTGTGTTTATATATATATATGTACCCAAATGTTACTTAAGCAACGGACAGCAATACAAATTTTCACTCTAAAGTGAAGTGTATTTTGTGAAGTGTAAAGTGAAGTGAAGCTGCTATTTCTCTTCTGTGAAGAAGGGTGGTGGAGAAAGGTTCTGCTTGCTGTGATCACAGTTAAAGGCTCTCAATCTGTTGGGGCAGTAGTTCATCCCTGCTGCTGCAGGTGGCACTCATTATCTGTACAACAAGCCTCAGGCACAGTGGGAGTCCTGGAACTAAAGGCCAACTGCTTGTACAAAACAATAAAGTGCTTGGGGATGTGCACTCATTGTTTCAGAAGAATCCCAGGCATTGATTTGAGCATTCTGGCCATTCTTTTCCTTAAATTGAACACTTGTGTAATTCTTTGTACAAATGCTAGAACAAGTGTTAGATAAAGCAGCTCAGCCTCTCCAGGAAAGGCTTTAAACTCTTTTGAACTGAGACTTTTCCATCTTGATTTTTTCCTGAATATTCTTTCTAAGTGGTTCTGTTTTGGCTCTTTGCAGAAATGTTTTAGGCTCCTCCGCCTTGAAATAGCCACAGACATTAGATGCTGTTGTGTTGAACACTGTACAAACAACAACAAAGAACTGCGGAATCACTGGAGCAGGAGCTAAACAGATGTGACACCTCTTATTTTGCATTTTCCACTTATTTTCTGACAATGTCACATGCTCTGAGTCTGGTTGGAGTCCTAAACAACTGAAGGGCTCTTTTTATTCAGGTTATCAATCTCTTCTTGGGGTTTTTTGGTGTTTTGGTTTTTTTCCCTGTATTTTTAACCTAGTATTAATAGTATTCTCCCTTCTGTAATTTGTCTCAATGTAGATTCGTGTTCTGCCTGAAATTGTGCAGTTCTTATTACCTGTGTATTCATCTTTTAGGCCAAAAGTTCTTATTCACCAATTGTTAATGTTCATGTGTTCTAAGGTGCTTTATTTCTGGGGAGGGGGGCAGCTTTTTTCTCTTGTAATTGTGAAATGAGACAACTAGGTCTGAGAACCTGGGTGGGAACTGGGGGAGCACGGAAATGTTAAGCGCAAAATTATCTTAATTGTCTAAAAAGCAATTGGCAAAGATAATTTTAAACTAGGTTTGTACCACACAGATTAGCCTGCCTGGATTCTGGTATTTCTTGGAGATCTCTGACCACATTCTCTTCAGTTACACTGATGTTGCCTGACTCTTTTTTGGCCACCAGCTCAGGAGGGCTGAGTCAAAGCATTTTTTGCTGTAATTCCTGTGCTCTCTGCGATAGGGTCACCAGGGGTCAACGTAAGGGAGCATCCCTCTGTGCCTGTGGTGCACTATGGTGGAGCTGCAGCCCAGGAGATAATCGAGGCCCGTTTGTCTCTTCACCACCACCCCCCAACCCTACAATTCTTTGTTCCCACTGGCTTCAAATGGAGCTGATTCTTTGCTCATCAACAGCAAGTAAGCAGCTCATGACCCCAGCAGATGTTTCTGCATTTTAGGCTAATGAGAACTTAGTGGATTACTGCAGTCTTCCCTGCCTCAGAGTAAATACCACTTTGTTGGAGATCCGGAAACTCATACTGAATATGATAAACAAACTGCTGGCTGGACTGTGATTGCCAGGACATGAAAAGAGTTCCACAGCAGCAGAGGATCTAACAGCTCTGAAATGCACCACTGAGCCACACCAATTAAGAGCATTTCCAGTGATTATGTGAGCATTCCTGTTCGACTCACAGAAATGATTTTAGGTTATTTCTTCCGCTGCATTTGTGTGTGGTCTGTAAAGCAAGCACAAGGATGGAGGATGAGGTTTGCAGAGGAGTCTCAAATGCCTCTATTCTTTTAAATTTTCTTTTAAAATACTTCTGTGATAATGTCTATGCCAGACCTATGGAGTTTCCTGCTATTTCAGAACCTTAAATTTCATATGTTACAGAAGAAAACATGATTTGCCTCTTAAAACATAACTGACTTTTTGTTTATATAGATAATGTGTGTTTGGAGATGGCCTGTAGGATATCAAAACTGAATTCCTTGTTTTAATATCTACTACATATGATGGGGTGGGAAGTTAAACAGTTGATGGAACAGTAGAGTTTTCAGGACTACTACTCAAAAACATTCTCTTTCAGCAGTCAGGCTTTGTTGTGCATTTCTTCAGAACTTTTTAGACAATATTTCAGTGAGTGGAATGTTAAAGGAGTAACTGGAGTGCAGCACTGATCCCCAGCTAAACCAGGATGAAGCTTATTAGCTTGACTATGGAGCTATGCTAGTTCACTTATACAACTTCAGCATATTATGGACAGGGTAAGTGTAGGATCTGTGTAGGCAGTACCCAGAGATGTTGAGAGCCCTTAACTCTCTTGCTCCCTTTTTTTGTCGTGAGAAATTTCTCTTCATCTAACTGAACAAAATCAAATTTCTCAAATTAATATAACAAGACACCTCTACCCATTCCTAGTTATAAAGATATCCAGATTAATTTTTAATAACTTAATATTTTTTTTAAATAACTTTTTAAGTGTGGTAACCTCACTACTTCTCTAGATCCCTTTATTTATGTATAAAACTTCCACCAAACACTAAACTATGCACAAACTTTTATTACATCAGTCATATGTAGAGACTGAGAAGAAAACTGGGAAGTAATTTACTCAATGCCATCCAGTTCTGATTAGGCACAGTGCTCTGTTCCTCTTCTAAATCAGCATCTGCCCATAGGAATGATTTCTTAGGGCTGTTTCAGTCATTTTGTCAGGGATTAAAATATTATACTACTGTGAAAGATCAGCCTCTCTTGTACATGATTAATAAGCGTTGTTGACAGAACTATTTAATAATTGCACTCTCAATATCATTATTCTGTTATATGCTACTGAGATTACATTCTTATTTTAAGTGTGTTCTTTAATTATCCTTATAATTTTGTTCTAGAGATGCCTGTATTCCTGGGAGGCAGGATCAGTCTTGTTTCTACCACTCTGTATCTGGACTGGTGTTGTAGTTTCTGTACAAAGACGTTGTCCTCATTGCTGGTAAGCTGGCAGTAGCATGGCAAAGCCAATGGGACACTTTGTTTGCAGTTATCAGTTCCTACATTCAGTATCTGTGTTGGGCTAACAGAAAGGAGGCTGTCACAGAAACACAAAGGGAGAACAGAACTGGGAGTTAAAGAAATGGGTGTGGGGTTTTTTACCATTAATGTAATGCTGTAAAAATTAACTAAGACTTTATTCTTGTCTGGCCATGTGTAATGACTGACATGTTTTTCCATTGAGAAAGGGGGACAAAAGATTCTGGCTTTCCTAAAACTGATGACTTGGCCATTGATTTTTATTTTTTACCTACTTTCTACTGAAATCTAGTACATAAAAGGCTTAATGCAAAACTAAATACTTACTAGCCTTGTTTTTAATGCAGCATCTTTTATTATGTGCACAATTTACTCATGTATTCTCAAAATCTTTAATTGAATATTACCTCCTATACCTTTAGGTCTGGTCACCTGTCTGTCAAGTTAGTGATAACACTCATGGCTGAGGCAGTTAACAAGAGCTAGTTATGATCCTACCAGTTGATTCTTGTGAGTAGTCTTACTGATTTGAATTTTTTTAATTGAAGGGAGGGGGAGAGGAAAAGGAGGCACAGCTGTGAGTAGCAGTACTCAAGGATTAGTGTTATTTAGAGCTTAGTGTTAACTCTATTTTTTGTTTGACAAATACTTGACTGAATTTTAACACTGCACATGGTTTATTTAGTAGGTAGATGGGTCATGGGAGGGGAATTCTTCTGCAGAATGATGATGAGGAGAATGTACAGGATATAAATTAGATCTGGTCAGAACCAACACAGATGTATTCACACCTTCTTCTATAAACTGCAGTTCCTCCCTCACCTTTCTGACACCAGTATAGCCAGATCAATCCCACACACACTTTCCACCTGGACAACTGCCTGAGATTCCTAAAATTTCATGAGGAGCAGAATTCCGTTTTTTTGTAAACGAAATAAAAATCTGAACTATGCACAGTGCAAGCGGGTGGCTGAATATGGCCCATAGATCTGACTGATGAATAGTTTTTATACATAAGCAGTTCTTACAGAACTTCCTTTAAACTCATAACTGTTACCAGATGTGGGTTGCAGGCGGCTGCTGGAATTCCAACACCTGTTGCATCACACTGAATAGGATTCATTTTGGCAAGCACAGAAAATTCCATTTCAGTAACTAAATAGTTTGAAATGATATCTAAGGGCTCTTTTTTTTCTTTTTTTTTTTTTTTTTCAGACCAAGCCATTCGAACCTTATTTACAGGATTGCACATACTTTCATAATTAGAAGATGGTTTGCAGTCTTTTAGAGACTGTAATTGCCTGATATTTCTTGTAGTCTGTACATAATCAAATAGAAAATCTTCAATTTGGAAGAAATCTTTCCTTTAAAAAAAGTTGGCTGATTTAAAAGGCTATATGCTACATGATGATAATTTCTAGCTGTGTTTTCTGAAATGTTAGGAACTTTTGTCTTCAAAAATATGATAGCATTATGTTGAAGAGGATGGAGCTCTGTTTTAGAAGTGTACTATGATGCATTCCTCAATTCATTGCTGAATCATGTTGCTTCCTCAAAGTCTGTATCCAGAGCTTTTTTAAAGACAAAATGTGGATGGATGTTTAGTGGCACTTGTTTTTTTTGGGAAATTATCTCCATGGTTCTAGAGTTTGAATAAACTGAAGGAGAATGCAGCAGTGAGGAAGAATTTAAATTTAGACAATCCAGCTATTTCCATTTCTAGTTAAGTTGCAAAGGCCAAGCTGTGTTATAGAACAGAGTTATTTTATTAAGAGCATCGTAAACTCTTTGAAGTGTGACTCAAGTTTGACAGAGCTGGTGCAAGTAAATGTCGATCTCGGCTGTGCCATAGTTGCATTTGGTGTGGAGAAAGATAAAACTAGTGTTCTAGTAAAACATTTGTAGAAAAATACAGCTCTTAAAAATCAGAATAGTGGGTGTTGTATTTAATTTCACGTAAAACCAGTGTAATGTCAGTTGAACTGACATCACCCCAATTAATATTAGTGCCAGGTTTGTGGAGTGTTCATGTCTTAAACTAGTTAACTTAAGCTAATAAAATACATTACTTATTCTTACAGGTACTGCCTCACTTATATCCTTGACCATCACAGCTAGTACAACTCCTAGTACAAGAAGAGTAGTAGCATGTGAGTACAATTACACATTTTTGAGGAGTGGGAGATCAGAGGAAAAACCCTATATCCTTTAAAGATAGAGAGAAAAGATGTGTTAGGAGGGCCTCTTTTTGACTTCATGCTTTCTTGCACGTGTCTTCAATTTGGGGCAAACAAAAGAGTCCCCTGGTAGCTCTCATAGCGTTTTGTCATGTGAAGATACATGAGCAATGAAGTGAGCAAGAGAGGAGCAGTTGTGCTTAAATAGCACAGAAACAAGCAAAATGGGTTCAGCTTACATAATATTAAAAGCTGAAAGCTGCTCCAAGATATTCTGCAACTCCTCCCACAGATGAGCTATAGCTAGAAAAATCCCATTAAAAATAAATAAAAACAACCTTTCCCAAGGTGGTGAGCAAGCTTCAAAAACTTCTTGTTCAGTAGTGGCAGCATAATTGTGATGTTCTTATTGTGTTGAATAAAATTCCTTAAATTCTCCACCCTGGTCTTGACAATTAGGGCAAAGTCTTAAAACAGGATTTGTAGACAACCATTAGTCGAGGATTGTTGGTGAATGAGAGTGGTTTAAATAGGTGATTTCTTTAAACCTTTCCATACTTGCTTGACTATGATTTTAACTGTCATATCCAATCCTAAAAACTGTAATGAGCCTTGCAAAATACGCAGTCCTTTTGATTTGAGACTGGGTTTTTTTTAAGTTGTTTGGTATAAAGAATTTTCAGGTAAGATATATTTTTAAAACCCTAGACTAGCTTTTCTCTTTTTTTTTCTTTTTGTTTTTTTGAATTTGACAAAATTTGTTCCTTCCTCTTCTAGGCTTGCTGTGTCTCCACAAATAAGACAATCAGGGTTTAAGTAGAAGACTGTAGCCACACCTAGCAGTGTTAGCCATTACTGAAGATACTCTGAATTTATCAAAAAGCTACTGAGTTAATGTTTATTTGGGGTTTTGGGGGTTTGTTGTTTTTTTTTTTTTGTTTAAGAGAAGTCATATTGAAATTAACATAAGTTTCAGACAAGATAAAAATTTAGGCACCATTTTATTGTTCTCCTGGCTGTGGACTGATCAACCTCCCAAGTCTTATTGCTGAAGTCGTCAGGGAAACCTCACTCGTTTTGATGACTTTGTGTTTTTAGGGAAGTGATGATACTGCTGAAACCTATGGGGATTGAAATAGTTTTAAGAGGGAGAAAAAGAATTTTAAAAGTTTAGCAGCTGGATTTGCTGTTTTTCTTGTCAGAAGCTAGAAGGAAGGGTAAACTATCAAGTTGACTTTTAGATACAAATCTGTATTTTT